ATATTACCACACTTAAATAAACAACCCAACAAACAGCCAAACCCAAACCCATTAGATGGTAAGAAATAATAGATTAGGGAAGACATTAATGAAACAAAGACTGAAAAGGACAATGTACTAAACCAACCAAAGAGTTGGTTATTTGAAAAAGTTAGTGACTGACAAATCCTTAGGCAATCTGATAAAAAGAGGAGAAGATGCAAACTAACAGAGTAGAGATCTGTGTGTATGTGTTGTAGATTATTATTTTAAGATGTGTTACATTTGTTTATGCTGTGGAATATTTGTCTAATGATACAAAGATGTGTTGCAGTCTTTTATGTTTCATTTGTTAACTCTGTGAAGCTGTGTTACTTTGACTGTCTAAAATACCTGAGGGTCTAATGAAGAGCTAAACAGCCAAACAGCAAGGCAGGAGAAAGGATAGGCTGGGTTACTAGGCAGAGAGAATAAATAGAAGGAGAAATCTTGGAGGAAAAAAGAAAAGAGCAAGAGAACAAGGAGAGGGATGGTAAGGGCCAAGCACCCAGCCACACAGCAAGCCACAGAGTAAGAGTGAAAGTAAGATTTACAGAAGTAAGAGAAAGGTAAAAGCCCAGAGGCAAAAGGTAGATAGGATAATTTAAGTTTAAGAAACCTGGCAAGAAACAAGCCAAGCTAAGGCTGGACATTTATAATTAAGAATGAGCCTCTGTGTGTGATTTGTTTGGGAGCTTATTGCTGCCTGGAAGGCCAGCCTCTAGCAGCCCAGGGTATGCAAAAAAAATCTACAAATATGACAAGAGCTAATCTTTTCTATCTGAGGGCTAATAAGGAAACACACGAGTCCTGATGGTAACTTTCTCTTTTTATTTCATCATGAAAAAAACTCCTCAACAGAAAACTCTAGACAATATATAAGCTGCATTTTCAGGGTTGTATAGCATATCTTGAACAAACATTAAGAAACAGAGCCATTCTGATCACACAGTTTTTTTCAGGCTAAAGATGTCACTCTGACTAGAAGTGAGTAATCATGGCAATGCTTTGCTGTGCAGACAGGAGGCACATAGCCTGAGCGACATCACGGAGAGTGACATTCAATTCAGGATCTAAGCAATAAACAGTTAGTTGGCTGAACCTTGAGCCTTGTATCATAAAAGTGAGGTTAGGAGTATGTATAAAAAGTCAGTTGCTGAGAGGATTTGTACAGGTAATTGTGTCTTTAACGCTATCAGCCAGGCTTTTGCAAGCAAAAAACCGGCACTAAAGTTGGTTAATGCCTGACCTTGATTCTACAATTAGACACCTGGGAACTTGCCCTTGAGCAATTCACCTCCAGGGGCAACTAGTCTATTTTGGATTTGCTCTGAGGTCTGTAATTGTCTTGAAGTGGTGGAATAAAGGCCTGGCTAAGAAGGTATATTTTATTCACCAAAATTACACAGCATAAGTCATCCTACTGTCAATTCACAGACATAACTGTGCCCAATATGTGGAGAACACACCACCAATAGGCTGTGCGAAGGGTCCCACAGTTCTTTTTAGGGAGGAATTGTGGTAGCACATGAGAGAACTGCAGACAGAAACAAACTGATTTACAGTCAGTGACCCCACAGTTTTTACCAAGTGGGGTTCATATCAGAGAATTATTCATCTGGTGGGTTGACTTTATGAATACAAGCTGTCACCTGCCACATATTTCTTGCAGACTCTGGTAGGAGTGGGTGGCAAGCCCCCCAAAAGAGCAAAAGTAACCAACAACATGTGTGTACATGTATATGTATTTAACACAACATACATATAAATATCACACACAAACATGTTTTTAATTTCTTACATATAGGAAAACATTAAGAAACACCATCTGCCGGGCGGTGGTGGCGCACGCCTTTAATCCCAGCACTCGGGAGGCAGAGCCAGGCGGATCTCTGTGAGTTCAAGGCCAGCCTGGACTACCAAGTGAGTTCCAGGAAAGGTGCAAAGCTACACAGAGAAACCCTGTCTCGAAAAACCAAAAAAAAAAAAAAAAAAAAAGAAACACCATCTAGACAGCCTGGAAGAAATCCCTACAGGCAGGTTGGAGATGCACCTCAAATGATGAAGTGTTTCTAGCATACAGAAGCCTTGGTGTGGATCCCAGCACCTCAGTAACCAGGTGGGGCAGGGGGATCAAAGTTCAAGGTCATCCTCAGCTACATAATGAGTTTGAGGTCATCAGGAGGCTCAGCTATAGGAAGTCCTGTCTTCAAAAGGGAAGACAGGAAGGACAGTCTGTAGCTTAGTTTTCAAATTTGCCCCATCTGTCAATCTTCCCTCTTGGATGTTCATGAGGTAGCATATCAAACTACTGACTTTATAGAAAATAACCCCTTTCTTCAGCAGTTAAAAAAGTTGATAAACTAAGACATTAGCTTCAAACCATCAGATCAAAGACCCGAGATACTTCTTACAGCATTAGTCTCACTCACTAAGTTCACTTTTTATTGAAAGTCACCTGAATGCTCATTTCAAACTAGTTACAAAAATATTATTTCCAGTCATTTCCCATGTTTGTTTTCTGGAGTCATTTTCTTTGCACAACCTGATAAGTTAAAGCTTGTTGCACACATGCTGCTCTATGTTTACCCCACCCACTGGTAACAAACAGAAAAGTGACTTTGGTCAGAATTGGGAGAGCACAGAAGTGAATTTCAGTACTGGGAGAGGTTAGTAGCTGTAAGGGCTTACAACACTTAGTGCTGACCTGGCCAGGACAACTCTGCTGGAAAAAGAGAAAAGGTGGGGGCAGAACTGGATTGCTCATCACTATGCTCTGCAATATTCCTAGCTTTCTCCTTCCAAGGTCAAGGAAACATTTTTGTTGAAAAGCCTATGACTTCTCTAGAGATAATTTTCAGATTTATGAGTCAGTATTTCAACTTCATCACACATAGGAAGTACCAATATTCCTCTTAGTTTGCTGTACTTGTGTTTCCTCCCAAATGCGAGGTACTTTATTTTCTTATTACTGTGATAAAATAGACAAAAGCAGCTCAAGGGAAAAAAGGGTTTATCTCACAGTTCAAGGTCTGTCATGGCAGACAAGTCAAGGCAGAAAGATCTGGAAGCAACTGGGCACACAGGACGTGCAGTCAGAAGACACCAATGAACGCAGGAATGATAGTGCTCAACCAGTGTTCTTTATCTTATACCACCCAGAATTCTGTGTTCAGGGAATGGTGTCATCCACAGCGGGTGGTGGCTCTCCTCCCCCAGTGAATGTAATAAAGATCAACAGAGCAGGCAGGCCTATAGGTCTGTCCCCCTGTGACAACTAACACCAACCATCACAGCTGGTACAGGACTTAGGAAGTCCATGAGCTTAGGAAATTCCAGATGTTCTAAACTGAACAAATTAGCAATTCTATGGGGGGAATAACCCACAGCATCAATACACCCTTAGAGGGTACAAAATCCGAACAGACAGAGATCTTTCTTAAACGTGTGATCTGAAGAAAAATACAGAGTACGGTTCCTTCCTTCATAAGTATAAAATATGATTGCATTAAGTTCCATAAAAAAAGGACTTCAGAATAAATCCCTTTTTTTACACATGATAAAAACTACAATCTGGAGAAATTAAGGGAATGTTAAGGCTACAATGCCAGCAGAAAATACTAGCTTCCTGCCTGCATGGCTCATCCTTTCTCACTCAGTTGTTCACACAAAACCAGATAGGAAGGTACTGGTAGGCATACTGGCATCCAAAGTCTGATATATCACACACATATGATATATATCTGATAAATAAATTATCTAAGAAGAAAACAAGTCCTTATTTTGGGTATTACTGGGCCATTTTAAATTTTTAATTTTAATTTTTATGTAAAACAACATACTCTCTTGGATACATTTTAGAACTTGCTTCCTTCCTGGTAGAAACAACCAACAACTTATCAATCATCTGACAGACAGGAGTGCTTAATACTATTGCAATCAATCACAGCCAAGAGCATGCACTTGACCCAGAAGGGGCAGAGGACATTCAGGAGAAAAAGGACTTCAAGGAGGCACTTAAACACATTTCTTGCTCACTGAAAGCACACAATAAAGAACAAATTAGTTGAGTGGATCTTCCAGTAACTGCTGAAGCTCTTTAAAAAATTTCAGCAAAACCTCTTTTCAAAGTTTATTCTCTTGTTTATTCACACTAAAGAACAGCAAGTACAAAACCAACGGCGATAATGTTCAGTGAAAAGAATTTTTATAGTAAGTAATTAAGTTGAGAAAGCTGAAAAAGAACGCTTTATTTTGGTGTCAAAAGGAATAGGAATCCAAAATTCGTTTTTAATTTTTTCCAAAATAATTACAAAACTGAAAGTCTATAAATAAGAATCTAAGAAAGCCTTCGCTTTCCTGCCCCCACCCCCTTGACTTCCGAAATACAGTGCAACTTTTCCCATCTGTTATTTTAAAGCAAGACAGTAATGAACATATGGGGCTTTCTCTCTCAAGCAGCTGTAGTGTAGTTAAAGTTATAATAATTGTCTTTCTGTAAGATAAATTTACATTAAAAACCTGACCAGTGAGAAATAAATAGCTCAACCGCAGAGTCTTCTTAAACAAAATTTAAAAGTTCATAACCATCTATGACAAATTACAGAGATGTAGAGGAAATCCCTAAAGCTTCTACTTTTATCTTTAAGATTTAGTGGATATAATAGATGATGCACAAATCAGCTTATTCCACCTCCCGACCTCATAGCCCATGTTTCTTTCTTGATCACAATGTGGGAACATTAATGAGTTCAGATACTCATCCCTAAAGCCAGCAACTAAATTCTTGGAAGTTAACAGTTCAAATTCACTCTTTCCATTGAGTCACTCCACGCTGAACCACAAGCCCGCTTGCTTACGAGGAGAATCTCCACACACGTGCCACCTAACTCCCGCTTCAGCCCTGTATTGCTTATGTGATCTGGAGAGAACTGAAAGAACTCACAGCACATCTGACCATGGGAAATGGAGCTACTACCTACCTTTGTCTGGATGGTTCAAAATCATCATTCTCTTGTGTGCTGTTCTAATCTTGGCCTTGCTAGCAGATGGGCTGTAAACAAATTAACAAAATGCAGATTATAAATTAATGATTTATATGGGTTTCAAGAAATTAAAAACTAATGAGAATTTCACCATCTTGTGGACAAATACAAAATTACAAGCTTTACACTTAATTCTACTAACCACTAAAATAAATCATGGTGACTCAATACTGTATTATATTTTCCTTCAGTACTTTATAATATCTGTCCTCATTCTCAGTTTTAAAAACTGAATAAATAAAAGATGGGTTGGAGATTTAGCTCCAACACAGAATCCTTACCTAGCAGCCATAAGACCCAAGACTTAGTGCCCAGCACCAAAACAACACACCACCACCACAACCAACAACACCCCACATACACAGGCCAAGAGAGTCACACTATGCACACTACAAGTATTGAAAGTTTATGTTTCTAAGGTCATTTTGGAGGAAGGTGACATATACCATCGAGGTACTAGAATTCCAGAACTAGTCTGCTAGTTTTTTAGATCAGTCTTGCTGCAGAGTACTGGCTGATGTTGGTCAAGGATACTGCCAGTGAGTTCTAGAATAGTTGTTGCCTTCTGTCAGACCTTCAACAAGCAATCTCCAAACTCTACATAGTTCATAGTGTATCTAGCTTTGTAAGAAAGCTGTGGGAAAGTGTGTCGGTGCAGCAGCCTAGAATGTGAGTGAAAATGAAAGGAGACAGTGAAAATAAACATAAAATTAGAATGACGAAACTGACTTATTCAGAGTTACAAGCGTTTGGTTCATTTTCTGAGCATGAAAAGAATTTTAGCACCAACAGTAGAAGCTACTGTAGCTAACAGCTATTGTATTTAAGTGACAACTTTACCAGGCTTCAAATGGGTAAGTTTATAGCCAGCTTAAAGTATGAGGGTAGTTGTGAAGCTCAAAGGAATCTGAATGGATGAACTCTGTGTTAGCAGGAAGCATGCAATTTTAGTTATTCAGATCTAAGTTCAAAAATCCTAATTCTACTGCTCTTCAGCTATGAATTTGTCTTGCTCATTTAAACTCTCTGAGTTACCATTTTCTCATATGTAACATAAATACAATGAAGCCTATCTACAAGGATTACTTTAAAGAGTAAAGGATGTTTATGAAAATACATTTTATATGTATATATGTGTATGTATATATATTTGTACTTTTAAAGAACTGAATGTAAACAATCTAACATTTCCTGAATGACTCAGAAACACTATCCTGAGAATGAACTAAATGCAACTCTCAGAGTCTGCAGAAGTTGGCTGATCCTTCTAAAGGGCCCAGAATGCTACTTAAGATCCTCCTTCTGTTTGAACAACACCTCCCCTTGCTATCAAGTGTCAGTCTTTGATTCTGTTAGCGCTCCAATTTCTAGCAGTTTCTTGTCAATTACATGCTACCACTAACCTCCTACAGGTAAATAACAATGCCATACATGTTAATACATCCTATTATGGGTCTGGAATAGTGTCACATGCCTAAACTTCTAGCATTCAGGAGGCTGAGACAAAAATATCTTGAACTCAAAAGGCTATGTAACAAGACTGTCTCAAAAGATAAGATCCCTGTGAAAAAAGAACTATTACTGGCTAAACGAACAGACAAACCATTCTTCCATAAACAAAATAAACAAGTTCCTTTATGCAAGGACCTGAGAATACTTCTTTCGGTTTTTTACAGAAACCTTATGGGGGAACATTTTTAAACCTAACTTTTAGGTAGCTCTCAAATAGATACTGTCTGATTTCAAAGACTATTTATTGAGTTTTGAGAAAGTAAAGTAACAATTGGATATTCACAAGAGCTAACTTTTATCTTATCTAATTGTGTAAGAAATGAAAACAACATCACTCTGAAAACCTGTGCAATTCCACTTCCTGTGCTGATGTGCACCGATCCTTCTGTTTATGGCGCTCTCCAGCACCTCTACACCAGTTATGCTCTATTATTCTGGATGCCCGACTCGTACATACAAATGACTTACAGGTACAGTCCATGACCTGCACTTAAGATATCATCTCAGATGGAACATGCAATGGGTGCTTCATGGATTTTATAGTACCCCCTCCCCCCCCAAAAAAAACATCAACAACAACAAAAACCAAAAGACCCAAAACCAAGAACAACAATCACAAAAAGTAAATTCCTTAGAAGAATGAAGGCTGTAGCTAGTAAACACTGACATTATACAAGATTATTAATTATAAAAATTAGAAACCTATAAAAAGAGCTTCACAAAACAGTACTTCACAAAGCTAATTACTAAAAAAATAGATATCAATTTAGAAAAGCACCAATTTCTTGTATATATTTGAAGAAACATGGAGTGTTGGCTCTTATTCTGTATATCAAGTTTTAATGAATACATGAAACAAAGTCTGAAAGTCACCTCAGTTACAATATTCTTGAAAATCAATGGCATTGCCTATTTTTTAAAATTTTTTTTATTAAGAATTTTTTTATTCATTTCAAATACCAACCCACAGATTCCCCCTCCTCCTTCCTCTCCTATCTCCTCCTCCGAAAAAGGTATAGCCTCCCATGGGGAGTCAGTAAAGCCCGGCACATTCAGCTGAGGTGGGTCCAAGCCCCTCCCCCTGCATCAAGGCTGTGCAAGGTGTCCCACCATAGGCAATGGGCTCCAAAAGGCCAGTTCATGTAGATGAATTCTAAATGGTCTTATTAAATAAAAAACAAGGAGCCAAATATGGGGATGAAAGTCTTAGATCAGGGAAACAGGGGAAGCCACCAACCAGCCTTATCTCACCAACTCTGCAGCTTCCAAATGTGAGTTACTTCCTGTCTACCCACACCTTTATTGCCTTGCTGTTCTGCCTTCTCATTGGCTATCTTAGCTCAGCTACCTCACTTCCTCTTCCTACACAGCTCTGTCACTTTCTGTCTGTCTATACAGACCTCCAGGTCTCTATGGTTGGTACTGGGATTACAGGTGTGTGTCACCACGCTTGGCTCTGTTCTCTAGTGTGGCCTTGAACACACAGAGATCCTGCCTGCTAAGTGATAGGATTAAGGGCATGTGCTGTCTGACTTCTTGTTTACTTAAAATGGCCGGCCTTTTCCCCTTGATCTCTAGGCAAGCTTTATTTATAAAATATCACCACATTTCAGCACAAATAAAATATCACCACAAGTTCATGCACCAGAGATAGATCCTATTCCCACTGTCAGGGGACTCTCAAACAGACCAAGCTACACAACTATCTTGCCCATGCAGAGGACCCAGTCCAGTCCTATGCAGGCTCCACAGCTGTCAGTCCAAAGCTCATAAGTTCCCACTGGCTTGGTTCAGTTGTATCTGTAAGTTTCCCCATCATGGTCTTGATGCCCCTTCACATTGCCAATTTTTTAAAAAGTAACTTTTTTCTACACAAAACCTGAAGTACTATGTACATTGTGGTCTGACGCCCATCAAACTATATTAAACTGAAACACAAGGAAGAAAAGTTCACGTACACAAATGTGACAATTTAAAACCACTGCCTTTAAGACAATTATCATCTTAGTGGTGAGCTTTGAAGTTGGGGGGAGAATTCTCATTTACATGCAGTTTATTCCCCTTCTGGTTTTGCTATATTAAAACTCTAAATCATTGCTACATTTAATGATTTGTTTGTTGCCAAGACCACGAATTTCAAAGTGTTCCCTGGAATATGTTTGACTGGCATGGGAAAGGAGCATGGGGTGGGTGGGAGAAATGAGGTGTGTGGAACTGAGTGGCATTCTTGAGCCTGTAGTAAACAGAGTCAATAAGTTGAGGGAAAATAATGCTCCCTGAGTAAATACTAAGCACAGAAATAGTTAGCTAACTAACATGGTCCCTTTGCTTAATGCCAGCCACTACTTCCTCTGACGAGGAAAACTCCCATCTCTTAGTTTTAAATAAAGCACTAAGCTAAAGGAAGTCCAGTCTTCAAAAATTATTATTGCACTTATTTATTTGTATCCACACACCTCCCTCTCTCTCTGGGTGTGGGTGTACCACAGTAAGCAGGTGGAGGTTATGGGACAACTGGTCTAGAGAGAAATCAGTGTCACAATAGAGGATCTTGTGATGGGACCTAGAGCCTAGGACTCCTTGAACTTAAAACTCCAGACCTTAAAAGACAAAAATGTAATATGTCCTCTTCTGGGTTTTATTTTTAAATTTTAAATATAAGCACAAACCTACTGTAATTCCCCCCACCTCCAATTTTCAAGACCATCTTGGCCACAAAACAAAACTACTTATGCAGCACTTACCTTACACCTAAAATAAGACTAGCCTCTCGCCTACTCATTTTCTGCTCAAATCCTCCTTTATAGTAGGATGAAAGGCTCTGCACGGGAAAGAAAGCAAGAAAGAATTAGTTCCATGCACAGGGTAGCATGACCTCAATCCCCTCACACCGCTACAGTAAGAGCAATGCATTTTATTAGAAATCAACTTGAAATTGCAGGGGAATGCACTACACAATGATCCTTTTATAAAACTCTAACCAAGATGAATGCAAAAAACATTACCAATGTTTTCAACTTTACAATGAATTAATTTTCTCTACTGAGATAGAACCGAAGGACAGGGATCAGCAAATGTCAATGCTTTCCCTAAGCACTGAAGTTCTTTTCTCACTGGATAGCCTTGACCAAGTCACTTATATTGATATGGCAGGTATCTGTTTGCCTTGTATCCTGGCTGACAGAGAAAGAAGAACATGTAATGGTAACAGACAGGAAAGGCAAAAGAGGCTGGGAAACTGAGCGAAATGGCCGTGGTGGCTAGAGAGTGAACTAGGAAGCTAGGAGTCTTAAAAAGCAATGGGAATGGATCGTGAAAGGCCTGGTTGGTGATGGAATGAGAAATGAGAGCACTGGAGTAACATCATTTGGCTTTGTTTTGGAAGGATCAGTTTGAAGAGTGAAAGAGAACAAGGGTGGACCAGTTAAAGAACAGACTGTAAACTGGCAAGGCACTGGGACATAAACGAAAGCAGGACTTGAGGATGTGGTGGAAATGGTCAGAGACTTTCATGTCTTTGGAGAGCAAACATCTGCTTGGTGGACGACTATGAGATATGACAAAAGGAGGAATGACAAAGGAATGACAAAAATTACGCAGAAGTTCTGCACTGTCCAGATCCCTCCTCGGGACTGAAGGACTCAGACACAGAACTGCACTCACTAAGCAGCCTAGCTCTGACCATTTGAGACCAAAGTCAAAGGCATGCCCTCTTCCCAGAGCAGCCTGTATCTGAAATGCCTGGCCAAGGTGGAATGAGCTGCAGTTCTCCAAGGTCAGTCCTTGGATGCCGCTATACCCACTTCCCAGGTGACATTATGCTCCTAGCCCTCTTCTAACCACAATGGACCATGGTAGCTGTGAGGCCAGGCCTTTGTTAAGACTGCACTACAACATAACTTGCTCCTCTAGCCTTGTCTTGCTTTGAAGGATGCTGCATCAAAGACTGTTCCCTAAACTTACAGCTCTCCAATTTTTGCCTCAGTCTGCTTCTCAGAGAGCCCAAGCCATGCAAATGCCTTTAAGATTTTTGGCCTAGAACTACCAGACTGTTTTTTAATGGCTAAAGGATGTAGCAGTTATCAGTTGTAGGAAATAGACGTGATGAGGATGGTTTCCAAGTTATTAAATTGAAGCTTCTATCCATTTCCAAGTGGAAAAGAAGTTCAATCTGGAGAAAGCCCATCCAAGTCCTCAGTGGGAACAGTGCTTAGTGAAGATAGACTGAGCAAGGCTGCCTAAGGAGAGCAAGTGCAGAGACTGAGCCTGAGTCTGCGCAAGGCCTGAAATGGAGGAGGGATCAGTAAAGGGCTCTACGAAGACCACGCTATGACATAGGAAGAAAACTGGAAGTGAAAAGCGAGGAAGTAAAACATGGTTTCAAGTGTTTCGGATGGGTAAAAGAAAATGTGATCCGAGAATTGACCCCATTAATTAGCAAAGAGAAGGTCAATGGAGAGGCAGGGCTGGAAGTTCCAGGCTGTCAGCCTGGGCTGAAGAGAGACCTGTTTCAAAAGACAGTAGCAACTGAGGTGAGCTGAATTGCCGGGTATGGTGCACAGCTGGGATCAAAGCACTTCAAAGGGGGAGACAGGGGAGCACACAAATCACAGCTCCCTCGGGCTACATAAGGACATCCTGTCTCAAAGCGGGGAAAACAAGATATCAAAAAGGAGAGAGCAAGAAATCAGGAAAGAGCAAGGAAAAGCTCTAAACAGGTGTATGAACTCAGCTTTTAGAGAGAAACATAGGCATGTACGATTGAACACATACACAATTCTAGGCAGAAGCCTGCACTTTTGTAATGAATAATAAGTAACTACAGTCACCGACTACAGTATGTATCAGGGATTGCTTCCAGAACCGGTTGTACTGAAATGCTTAGGTGTACAAGTCTGTTACATAAAAGCACAACATAATATCTGCAAATAAGCTGCCCTCCTCCTCCTGTACACCCCAAACTACCCGCAGATCACTAAAACGATGTAAATGACACGCAAATAAACAGTGGCTCTACTGTATTTAAGGAATGTGCAAATAAACAGTGGCTCTACTGTATTTAAGGAATGATGGCAAGAGGAACCAGTGCTACGTGCTTAGCACAGACGCAGTTTCCCCTCCATGGTGGTGATCTGCCGGAAGTAAGCCATGGTAAGGGTTGTCTTTTACCAGACAACGATTCACTGCTCTAACAGGGCCACGAGGAGTAATACGCTCTATTTCCAGTGTCATGTCATTCTAACCCACTACAAAAACAAACACACACAGAGACTGTTACAGAAGACAGAAGTAAATCTCAAGCCAAAGCTGGAGAAAAACTGGATACTTAGTAGAGGAAGGCCAGATGGTCTTAAAGGCTCTCTCAGCAGACCAAAATCTTTCCTAGGTGCAAACCGTATCCTCAAATGAAAGCTGGTTATTTGAGTTGTTTATGGCAGTCATTTCTACAGCAGTACATTGGTTCTTATTTCGGTCTTAATTCATGCTTCAGGTTGATACACTTTTTCTTTACAAAAAAGGTATTCCTATGACTCTTCATCTACTTTAGAGAGCTCGAAGACTCTAACTCAGCATAAGATAAACTGATGTTCCCCAAACTGTCACTCCCTCTATGGTCACAAGTCACTACGCTTAAAAAGAAACACTAGTGTCTATGCTATTTTTATTTCCTACCAAGTGGAAATGGGGCCACAGAAAAGTCTCCTCAGAACCCAGCATCCTATCCTGCAACACTGCCTTTATTACAAGTAAGTAAACCTTTGCACAGAAACCATCACACCTTCTAAAGGAAGATCATTTTGCAGAAAGGAGCTTAACACCTGGGACAGCACACAAAAACAGACAACAGAAAATGGAAGCTCAATAGAAATTGTATTGCTCAACACTAAAATACAGGCACATTTCTTCCAAGAAAATCCTGCCTTCTAAAACCAAGAAAGACAATCTTAAAAAGGAATATTTGTACAATACACTAATCTAATCTATTATCTTTAAATTACTATTTACATTATGAGCAGGCACAAAATTATAACTTGGTATCTCCCTCCTCTAATACTAAATAATAACTGAAAGGGTATTTGAGGCTTGATAAAATATATCAAGACCAAATTGTTTGGAATATAAAGAGATAAGATGCTGTAGTTCGTTCTCTGAAAATGCTGCGATCCAAAGGAAATGTCCAGATCCATAAACATGATTGTGGTGGTTTGAAAGAAAATGGCCCCCAAAAGGAGTGGCACTATTAGGAGGTGTGGTCTTGTTGGAGAAAGTGTGTCACTGTGCAGGTGGGCTTTAAGGTCTCATATATGCTCAAGCCACACCCAGTGAGACAGTCCTGTTGCCTGAAAGATGTAGACTCTCGGCTCCTTCTCCAGTATATGTCTGTCTCCATGCTACCATGTCCTACCATGATGATAAAGGACTGAACCTCTGAACTGTAAGCCACCACAATTAAATGTTTTCCTTTAAAAGAGTTGCTGTGGTCATGGTGTCTCTTCACAGCAACAGAAACCCTAACTAAGACAATGATATTACTACAAGTAATAATTATGTCATTGAGGGTGGAGAGATGATGCTGTCTACTGAAAACACCCTAGAATGTACAAATACTATTCTGTCCAAGAAGCACACACGAGCAACAACAGGAGTCACATTAATTTCTTTCTAAAATTAGTATTAAATGATGGTGTCATGTTATCGAAGGAGGGCTAAACTAACTCAAATAAAGCAAGTGTTCATTCACTAGCTATTTCAGTCGGTAACATGAACAATCCTCCACTAGGTGAGACTGGTTATCATTCACAGTGTCAGGTGAAGAAATAAACTTCCTAGCTGAGTTACAGAGCCACAAAAGGATGACGTCAAGTAAAGACAAATTTATAAATAGAAAATTAAAAGCCTTGAAGAAAATAAATGACTCAGGACTCTCTCAATCCTTAAATTAGGAGTAATTAGTCATTTGCTGAACCAATCAGTACTCATTTATACATTTTAAACAGCAAACAAAAGGCACTAGTTCAAAATAACAGACTGCATCACAACGGTCTTTTGTCTCCCAAAGTGCCTTAGAAATGAAGAAGTAAATATTTCCAATAAGAGAAAGCTATAACAGACTCTGAAAATAAGAAATCAGTAGTAAGCTAAAAACTTTAAACAAATACTGATATTGAAAAACATGAAAGACTGAATATACTGAAAAACTATCACAGCAACCCCAATATCAGGAAAAACAAAACCACTAGGAAAGAATAAATTCTCCCCAGGAAACCAAGAAGAAAACATTAAATTCACAGGCCATTTCTTTTTTAAGTATTGAGGTTTATAGCAAAGAGGGCCCTCCCTATACTCATCTAAATCAGAGCCTATGGTCCAGAGCATGTGACTTCCCCTCTGACTAAGAAAACAAACAAACAAATACATTACAACATGAAGAAGAAATAAAAATGACTTCTCAGAAAGTACAATCTTCCCTTGCAAGGGCCGAAGAAATGGCCAGTAGTTAGGAACATACTGCTCTGGCAGAGGATCGATGTCAAGCTGCTCACACCTGCCCATATCCAGTCCTAGGGAATCCAACACCCTTTTTTGCACTCCTCAGGAACCTGCACCCATATGTGGACAAACCCACACACATATACATAATTAAAAATAAAATAAAATGTAAAACATTTCCATTGTATAAAATTCAGATGAACTGTTTTTTTTTTTCTTTTTTTTTTTTTTTTCTTCTTTTTGTTGTTGGTTTTTCGAGACAGGGTTTCTCTGAGCAGCTTTGCGCCTTTCCTGGAACTCACTTGGTAGCCCAGGCTGGCCTCGAACTCA